ACATGATTCATTTTTGTTTTTTTTTTGGGAAAAAAATTAACCGATTTTCCCCCCCATCCACACATTCAGTGTGGATGGGGGAATCACTCCTGCCCAGCGGAGAGTCTTCCTTGCCAGCAGAATACAATGATCACTGTTGATGGCTATAGCCTGTAGCACTAATTGTTCAGGAAAAACCCAAAAGGCTGGTTGTACGCAAGGCAATCAAGAGATCTACTTGTGTACAACCAGCTAGTCCATTCATGGATTCAAATTCGTCTGGTTCCTGCTAAACTGGATGGATTTATGACCAGCTTTAAGCTGCCTCCACCTAGGTCCTTCAGCTAGATTTGTGGAGGTGCCTCCAAACCTATGAACATCTGCAGATCCTATTGAGCAAATGTTCTATTGTCTGTAGGAACCTTCCCGAACTGCAGAGGCTCAGAGCTGTAGCCATGCTGCGGTCATGATGCTCTGCTGTACAGCCGTGGCAAAACTTAAATGGCATATTGCATTTGGCAGTCGGTATCCCTGCTTAATGTGAGCCATTCAAGTACAGTGCCTTGAAAAAGTATTCATACCCCTTGAAATTTTCCACATTTTGTCATGTTAAAACCAAAAACGTAAATGTATGTTCTTGGGAATTTATGTGATAGACCAACACAAAATGGCACATAATTGTGAAGTGGAAGGAAAATGATAAATAGTTTTCAACATTTTTTGCATAAATCTGTGAAAAGTGTGGCGTGCATTGTTCTCCAAAAATTATCCATACACATCCTTAACCTCTTCCCATCCAGCCCATGTCGATAAATGGCCGAACGGGAGAGCTGCCGATGCAGGTGGACGTTTCTAAACGTCCCACCGAATCCATTGCCTGTAGGCGCTCCCTGGGAGAGCGCGCTGTACGGGACCTCTGTGTGAGGTCCCGATTCATGTGATCACTGATTGGCCAATCAATGATCACATGAATAGTAGTAAACAAGATCTCACTTCCTTACATCATTGCTTACTATGTGTGAAATCTGTGAATGATCACAGAGGTCACATGGTACAAGGCTATTCACAACAGCCTTGTACCATGTGACAAGCTGTGACCAATCACAGCTCTTACAGTATTTTTCAAGGGCTGCAGGAATGCAGCCATAGAGAAGGAGAAATGATTGCTTTTACAGCCTTTATGGGTGTAAAAGCAAACTTTTTTTTTTATCACCCCCCACAAGTAGTACAGTTCACTATGGTGACACTGGACTATTAGGGTGACAGTATGTTGAAAACAAAAACAAAAGAAACCCATAAACAATAATATAAAAAAATTAAATAAAAATGTAAAACATTTGTTTTGAAAAATTATAATTTTTGGTTATAAACTAATTTGGGTTATTTTTTTCTAAAAAGATAGCTGAATACATTTTGGCCAAGATTTATGAAGAAAGATTATTTATTTGCAAAATGTTATAAGAAAAACTTTTTTTCAAAATTGTTTGACTTTATCATTTATATAACCATAAAATAAAAATCCCAGTGGTGAAAAAAATACTACCAAAATAAAGCTTTATCTGTCTCAAAAAAATTCAAAAAAATTCATATGTGTACAGTGTTGCATGACCGCGCAATTGTCATTCAAAGTGTGATAGCACTGAAAGCTGAAAATTGGCCTGGACAGGAAAGGGGTGAAAGTATCCGGACATGAAGTGGTTAAGCGATGCTCAATTGATACTAAGGGGCCCAAAGTGTGCCAAGGAAATCTCCCCCACACCAGGACGCCATCACCACCAGCCTGAAACATTGATACAAGGCAGGATGGATCCATGCTTTCATGTTGTTGACGCCAAATATTCTGACCCTACCATCTGAATGTCGCAGCAACCAGTCTGCCCATTCTCCTCTGACATCAACAATTCATTTATGTCCCCACAACTGCCGCTCACTGGATATTTTGTCCTTTTCGGACCATTCTCTGGAAACCCTAGAGATGGTTGTGTGTGAAAATCCCAGTAGATCAGCAGTTTTTTAAATACTCAGACCATCTCATCTGGCACCAACAACCATGCCACGTCACTTAAATCCCCTTTCTTCCCCATTCTGATGCTCAGTTTGAATGTCACCAAGTCGTCTTTACGTCTACATGCCTAAATGCATTGAGTTAGCAATTTGTGTTACCAAGCAGTTAGAGGTATACCCAATAAAGAGGCCGATGTGTATATATGACCAAGGGGGTGAAAGTGTCCGGACTTGAAGTGGTTAATGGCCCTGTAGTCTATTTTTCATAAAATCAGCTCTTACTGTGTTATTCTGCTTTCTTGTAATATCCTCCATGATCTCCAGAACCTCTCCTTTTCCCTCCCTCGTTTGTTTGTAACGAGCAATGCAGGGTATTTGCAGTCATGTACACTGCTCTATGCACACTACACATCCCGGGAGTGAGCAAGAGAGGGTGGCTATGTTCTTACATGCAGTAGGACCATGAAGAGAGAACATAGCCACCCTCTAATAGCAAGTCAGATCCAAGTGCGGACTGACCATTTGGAAACTCGGGCACTGCCCGAGGGCCCGGGGTCAGTAGGGGGCCCCTTGAGATGCCCCTGGTACCTTTTTCATAGGCTTTTTTGAGTTTGGGCAAGGACACAGGGGCCCCATGATCCCCTATTGCCTGGGGGCCCCCGTGAGTTGTCAGTCCGCCCCTGGTCAGATCCCAGCAGCAAAAAAAAAAAAAAAAAGGATTTGGAGGAGGCTGGGAGCAATAGAAGGGGCTTTTTTGAGTTGAGAATACATATGTGAGTAGAATTCAGTGTCACTTTAAAAAAGGAAACCCTTCCTTCCCTTTGAGACCCCTGTACCTCGGCTACATTCAGAAAATGACATCCTGAAGGTACTGTGAAAAGCCTGCTAAATCTCACGGCAGGAGAATGAAACTTAGATGAAATCGGGTCCCACGCCAGCATGGTAAGGTTCACTGATTATTCTTGTCACCTTAAATTTTCATTTTCTGCAGCAGTGGAGCTCGACTATGAGATAGTATATCACATGGAAGGTTTGGCAGTAGCCAGAGGCTGCCTGACTGAGCCCGCTAGTCCATTTTATTATCGGTATGACCCCGCGGTCAGCACATGTCCTATGCCGTGATGGTGCTTGGATCAGCAGTCGGCCTGGACAGTGTAACACCTCGTCTGTGACTGCAAACTTCCAGAGGAGTCTGGGGCTTCACACAAGGTTATCAGGTTATCACCCACCAAAGAAGCCCTGTTTTTCCTGTCTGTTCACAAGACAGACGGAGAGCACTGGCATTTCCTAAACAGTTGTGTTAAAAGATATTCAAGATAAAGCTCTGTTGCTTAGATTATTTTTTGACAAAATTTTAAAGCGGTAGTAAACGCGGAAAAAAAATTCATAAAAATCTTCTACCTGCAAGATAAGAGCACACTAGCACATTAGATTGTAAGCTCCCAGGATCAGGGCCCTCCTAACCCTCTTGTATTGAACTGTATTGTTGCTGTATTGTCTCCCGTTATATTGTAAAGCACTGAGCAAACTGTTGGCGCCATATAAATCCTGTATAATAATAATTATATATAAATCCTGTATATAATAATAATATATATAAATCCTGTATAATAATAACAATAATAAAAAAATATAACAATTATGAAAGACTTACCCGAAAATGAAGCCCTCCAGCTTCATCACGCTTCGTCACGCGCTGTCACGGCTCCCCGAGGCTTCCATTTTCACCGGGTCTACCTTCCGGGTTTGTGAGTTGCGGCCATCTGATTGGCCAGGGCTGCGGTGTCAACATTCCCGCACAAATTGATGGAATATAACTGATTCTATCTATACACGAGGACGTTGGACATGAATTAAAAAAAAACAAAACTTTTTAATCCAATAATGTACTGAGGGCTTGTTCACACCAGGTGAGGTGCAGAATTGCGCATTTTCCTGCACTGCACAAAAACACACTGGGGGTTATTTATTTAAGCTGCAGAGTGCAAAATCTGGTGCAGCTCTGTATAGAAACCAATCAGCTTCCAGGTTTTATAGCCAAAGCTTAAAGTGTTACTAAAGCCGCAACAGTAAAATCAGTCTGTATATGCAGTAAAGCATGCTTGTTATACTCACTGTGGAACCTAAAAGGTTAATCCTCTGCATTGTGTAAAAAGGTTGATTGATCCTGACTTCTCTGATCCTCCTCTTGTTCAAATGTCCATGCTGATGGAGACCAGATATAGTGAATGCTGGGTCCGGGGAGACCGGATATAGTGAATGCAGGGTCCGGGGAGACCAGATATAGTGAATGCAGGGACCAGGGAGACCGGATATAGTGAATGCAGGGTCTGGGGAGACCGGATATAGTGAATGCAGGGTCCGGGGAGACCGGATATAGTGAATGCAGGGTCCGGGGAGACCAGATATAGTGAATGCAGGGTCCGGGGACACCGGATATAGTGAATGCAGGGTCCGGGGAGACCGGATATAGTGAATGCAGGGTCCGGGGAGACCGGATATAGTGAATGCAGGGTCCGGGGGAGACCGGATATAGTGAATGCTGGGTCCGGAGAGAGCGAATATAGTGAATGCGGGGTCCGGGGAGACCGGATATAGTGAATGCGGGGTCCGGGGAGAGCAGATATAGTGAATGCGGGGTCCGGGGAGAGCGGATATAGTGAATGCGGGGTCCGCGGAGAGCAGATATAGTGAATGCAGGGTCCAGAGAGAGCAAATATAGTGAATGCGGGGTCCGGGGAGACCGGATATAGTGAATGCGGGGTCCGGGGAGAGCGGATATAGTGAATGCGGGGTCCGGGGAGAGCGGATATAGTGAATGCGGGGTCCGGGGAGAACGGATATAGTGAATGCGGGGTCCGGGGAGAGCGGATATAGTGAATGCGGGGTCCGGGGAGAGCGGATATAGTGAATGCGGGGTCCGGGAAGAGCGGATATAGTGAATGCGGGGTCCGGGGAGAGCGGATATAGTGAATGCAGGGTGTAGGCAGACCAGATATAGTGAATGCAGGGTCCGGGGAGACCAGATATAGTGAATGCAGGGTCCGGGGAGACCAGATATAGTGAATGCAGGGTCCGGGGAGACCAGATATAGTGAATGCAGGGTCCGGGGAGAGCGGATATAGTGAATGCAGGGTGTAGGCAGACCAGATATAGTGAATGCAGGGTCCGGGGAGACCAGATATAGTGAATGCAGGGTCCGGGGAGACCAGATATAGTGAATGCAGGGTCCGGGGAGACCAGATATAGTGAATGCAGGGTCCGGGGAGACCGGATATAGTGAATGCGGGGTCCGGGGAGAGCGGATATAGTGAATGCGGGGTCCGGGGAGAGCGGATATAGTGAATGCAGGGTGTAGGCAGACCAAATATAGTGAATGCAGGGTCTAGGGAGACCGGATATAGTGAATGCAGGGTCCGGGGAGACCGGATATAGTGAATGCAGGGTCCGGGGAGAGCGGATATAGTGAATGCGGGGTCATGGGAGACCAGATATAGTGAATGCAGGGTCCGGGGAGAGCGGATATAGTGAATGCAGGGTCGGGGAGACCAGATATAGTGAATGCGGGGTCCGGGGAGAGCGGATATAGTGAATGCGGGGTCCGGGGAGAGCGGATATAGTGAATGCAGGGTGTAGGCAGACCAGATATAGTGAATGCAGGGTCCAGGGTTTAGTAACACTTTAAGTGAGTAAATCAGCCCTGAAAGTACACTGAGGGTGCTAAAAATTAAAGTTAAAACCCCTCCCCAAAAAATGTTTGAGCCACCCCCACATACATGCACATATGAACGTAAACACATGGGCCAGGGTTGCCTTTGCGCACAAAAGCTGGTTGTGCCAGACATGTTATATACTGCCATGTATGCTGAGTGAGAGCAGTAGCTCTAGGCCCATTATTCGTGTTGCTGATGACCTGTAGGGGCTTTTAAAGCATTGCCAATGTCGCAGTTTGTCACCAATACATGGCTGCACGCTGTTTTCAAGGCTTGACATGTTTAGGATCCATTTAGTCGGTGCAACCTCATCTTTTATACTGTATCAGAAAATTGGGTGATATATGGCACTTGTTTACCTTAAAATGAACTTTAGTGTATTTTAAAAAAAAAAAAAATGTTGCGCTTGACAAACCGCTACGCTAATATCATTCAAAAAATTGGAACCATTTCCATTTTATTCTCCAGGGTGTGTGCTTTTAGAAAATATATGTTTTGGGGGGTTTAAGTAATCTTCAGACCTAAAATGATTTTTAAAAACGTGTGCAAAAAAAAAAAGGCAAATAGATCTGGCAGCGAAAGGGTTAAAAAGTAATATCCAGAATGTATCCCAGTGAAAGATTTTTTTCTGGAACTGACTGCACTGGTGTGAACTATGCCATTGGAAACCATGTAACCTATTATCAATGTCCTATTATCAATTTGTTTTTGATGCGTGGGCAGCACAGTGGCTAAATGGTTAGCACTTCCGCCTGGCAGTACTAGGGTCGTTGGTTCAAATCCCAGCCATGGCACCACCTGCCTGGAGTTTGCATGTTCTCCCTGTGCCTGCGTGGGTTTCCCCCAGGTACTCCGGTAGGGTAGCCCATTCATTTCAATGGGCTGCCCTATGCATGACAAGCGCGCCAGTTGCGCATCCAGCTTTTTTGGGCATTGAGCTTCACGCATTTTTTTATGTGCATTTTGACTTGCACAGGGCAGCACAGTGGCTGAGTAGTCAGCACTTCCGCCTGGCAGTACTAGGGTCGTCGGTTCAGATGCCAACCATGGCACCACCTGCCTGGAGTTTGCTTGTTCTCCCTGTGCCTGCGTGGGTTTCCTCCGGGTACTCTGGTTTCCTCCCACACTCCAAAGACATGCTGGGAGGTTAATTGGCCCCTGTCTAAATTGTCCCTAGTATGTGTATGTATGAATGTGAGTTAGGGACCTTAGATTGTACGCCCCTTGAGGGTTAGGGACTGATGTGAATGTACAATATATATGTAAAGTGCTGCGTAAATTGATGGCGCTATGGAAGTGCCTGAAATAAATAATACATAAAGCGCACTTTTTTTTGCTGCATTTTGGGTGCCGTTAACATCGAGTGGCACCACAAGTGTGACATGCGGCTTCCGTGAATTTCTTGGACATGCGTTATCGCGCACTTTTGCATGCATTCACAAATTGCTCAGGTATAAACCTAGCCTAAAAAAATCGTCCTGTTTCGCCCAGAAGTGATTCCTGGTAAAACCGCCGGCTGCTTTCTCCTAAAACCTCTGAGCCTGCAAAACTGCGTCTTGCACCAGAGCAGGCTTCTGCAAAATATGGCCGCTGTCTTAGGCAGCCAATCGGCTTCTCTCTGTAATTCTCCAGCCCGCACCCAGAGACATAAATTATGACTGGCTGCCCGGGGACGATTCTATAAATCTGAGCTGCGGGTAGGCAGCGGTGAATTTTATTTCCACATTTAATGGCGATCTGCGGCGTTGAGTGTAGGCGTTAAAAAAATAGTTCTTTTATACCGTTGGCTTTTAATTATCGCGGTCCTATAAAAAGCTCTGGATAGGTCGGTGCCGGGCTTGCTGGTCCCGTTTTTTTTTTTCCCCCTCTCCCTCTCCGCTTTGAAGGTCAGGTATTAAAGCTCATTTTAGCATTCGTGTCAGACCTGAATTAGTGCTGCTTTGATGCTCCTCGCCGAGGGTTTTCACCAACGTGATGGATGAAACAGTCGCCATGGCAACCGGCTCGGGTTCACCGTCCATTGCGGTAGCTGCTAGGCGATAGGATGGGAGAAGTGATGGAGAGGGCCTGCCCTGCGTCCTGTATGAAATTAACACTTTGTGACAGAGCCAGGGCTCAGCCCGGCTGTGCGCTAAGGCCTTCGGGCCCTAGAAATAGGAGAAACGTCATTTTGCATTGGCAAGCGTTGCATGATGCCTGTTACCTATAGGCGACTGAGCAACGCGATGACATCATATCAGCGCTTTGTTTGTCCGTGACCTGAAAATACTTCTGCCATTTCAGCAAACTTGCCAACAAGATGGGCTACAGGGCCTAAAATCCCAGTCTTGTAAAAAAGGATATCGTGTGTAAAAAGGGACGCCACTAAAATGATGGAATATAACTGGTTATATCTATACACGAGGACGTTTGACATTACACATGGAAGTTGGACGTGAATAAAAAAAAAAAAAACTTTTTCATCCAATAATCACACCAGGTGTGGTGCAGAATTGCGCATTTTCCTGCACTGCACAAAAACACACTGGGGGTTATTTATTTAAACTGGAGGGTGCAAAATCGGGCGCAGCTCTGAATAGAAACCAATCAGCTTCCAGGATTTATCGCCAAAGCTTAAAGTGTTACTAAACCCACAACAGTAAAATCAGTCTGTATATGCAGTAAAGCATGCTTGTTATACTCACTGTGCAACCTAAGGGGTTAATCCTCTGCAGTGAGTAAAAAGGCTGTTTGATCCTGTCTTCTCTGATCCTCCCCTTCTACTGTCCCCTATCCATCTGTTGATAGTACAGAGCTCTAGGAGTTACTCTGCATGTGCTCAGTTTAGTGTGTATATGGCTAGAGAGTTTTTTTTTTTTCCCCTTTGGGAGGATGTATGTGATCAGCACTGTCCAGATAGAGGGTCAGGGGTCATGTATCCTCATAGGGTAATCAGAGGAGAATGAAAACTCTGCTGATACTACAGAGCTCTAGGAGGCACTCTGCACATGCTCAGTTTAGTGTATATTGCTAGAGAGTTTTTTTTTTTTTTTTTCCTTTGGGAGAGTGCATGTGATCAGCACAGGGCCAATCGGCACAGTCCAGACAGAGGGTCAGAGGTCATGAAGCCTCATAGGATAATCCCCAATCTATCTGTTGATAGTACAGAGCTCTAGGAGTTACTCTGCAGATGCTCAGTTTAGTGTGTATTGCTACAGAGTTTTTTTTTCCCTTTTGGGAGAGTGCATGCGATCAGAACAGGGCCAATCAGCACTGTCCAGGCAGAAGGTCAGAGGTCATGAAGCCTCATAGGATAATCAGAGGAGAATGAAAACTCTGCTGATACTACAGAGCTCTAGGAGTCACTCTGCACATGCTCAGTTTGGTGTGTATTGCTAGAGCTTTTTTTTTCTTTGGGAGAGTGCATGTGATCAGCACATGGCCAATCGGCACTGCCCAGACAGAGATCAGGGGTTCTGCATCCTGCTAGAGGAAACTGAAAACTGCTTCTATCAGTGTTCAGCTGAGCACTGGTTAAAGCTTATAGAAGTCACAAGACTGCTCAAACTGCTGCTGATAAAAGGTATTTAGCAGTTTATAGTTACTAAAATAATTGCATGTCCGTTTTCTGTGTACTGTGGGAGACCAGATATAGTGAATGCAGGGTCCGGGGAGACCAGATATAGTGAATGCAGGATCCGGGGAGACCAGATATAGTGAATGCGGGGTCCGGGGAGACCAGATATAGTGAATGCAGGGTCCGAGGAGACCAGATATAGTGAATGCAGGGTCCGGGGAGACCAGATATAGTGAATGCAGGGTCCGGGGAGACCAGATATAGTGAATGCATGGTGTAGGCAGACCAGATATAGTGAATGCAGGGTCCGGGGAGACCAGATATAGTGAATGCAGGGTCCGAGGAGACCGGATATAGTAAATGCAGGGTCCGGGGAGACCAGATATAGTGAATGCAGGGTCCTGGGGAGACCGGATATAGTGAAGGCAGGGTCCGGGGAGACCGGATATAGTGAATGCAGGGTCCGGGGAGACCCGATATAGTGAATGCAGGGTCCGGGGAGACCAGATATAGTGAATGCGGGGTCCGGGGAGACCAGATATAGTGAATGCGGGGTCCAGGAAGACCAGATATAGTGAAGGCAGGGTCCGGGGAGAGCAGATATAGTGAAGGCAGGGTCCGGGATTTAGTAACATTTTAAAAGACACTTGAAACCCATTTGAGTAGGTATAATCTCAAGGTATGGATTTAAATGTTACTATGTGGGGGAGGGGTTTGTGTTGATTGGAGGGCTTTGAGATACATGCACAATGCACATGATTGCAGCACTGTAGTCCCACATTTATGGGTTTAATACACAAGGAGAGGAGACAATACAATGTCCCCTGATCTGTTGATTTCCATGTTCTGTGTACTGTGGGAGACCAAATATAGTGATTGCCAGGTTGGGGGTTTAGGAACACTTTAACTGGACAAGCTGAAGTTAGAAGTTGATTGGCTACCATGCACAGTGCACCAGATTCTGAGTGCTCCAGTTTTAGTAAACCTACCCTATTACTTTACAGACATGCTTGGGTGCCTTTAATTCTTACTAGCACCCCATGCATCTGTCAAATTGGCAAGCGGTCATGCCCACCAAAACGCTTGATACCGCAACCCCATGCATTTTGGTTTGTCGTAATTTTACAAATGGTCCCTGCACCTTATTTTACGCGTTTCCTGCACATAGGGCTGTTTGTCTTT